ATGCACATGTGGTAAAGAGTGCACATGTTCATGTATGGACCCTAACAGACAATCAATACATGTTAACACTGAATAAAATTATTCTTTTCATTTCATGAAATGAAATCTTTTGTATCAATTTATACAATGGCTGAATGAATCCCCTGTGTGATCAAGTCACCATTGAAATTGCAGCACAAAGTACTCAGTTTTTCAACTTACATGTACATGTACCAGTAGGAACCTTTAAGGGAAACAATGAGATGTCCACACAAGTTACATGTACATGTATGTGTGCAAATGTACTTCAGGTACTGGCTTGGGTGCTGAGGCTGTTATTGCATGGAAGAGGCAATTGCTTTTGTTAGCGAAGTAAAAATTGAGTTGTGGAAACAAAATCTCTCCTCATGACGAATGTGTTTCAATGACTATTGTTCAACATGTGTAACATATGGTCATGTTCATGAACATCCCACAACTACACATAATGATACCAGTTTACATGTATAAATGTACATGTGTTTGGTTTCCTACCTGCTAAATATGTCCATGGTGTGGATCCATTACTATTCTGTGTGTCCTGACTACACCTCTCTGTCATTATCTCTGTGGTGTGCAGATGATCCTCACCACTTGACTGCATGTCCCCTGAATTAGTGACAGGTGAACTAGCTGAGTTCTCAATGGCTACTCCGAGGCCTCTTCAGCGGTTTGTGTATTGCTACCATTGTCCTTTGCTTGTACTGCAGCATTAAATGGAGACCCTAGATCTAGCAAAATGCCAACCTCGGGCTCTACAGATGAAAAAAGAAAATGAAGTCTCATTTTTCAAAACATACCATTTAGGGGGATTCTACTGCAAAGAACTTTTCATACACATGCTGTCTGCATTCCTCTTCTTTGAAAACTTTTGAAGTCCATCCAGATGGGTTAAATGTATTGAAAAGTGTTTTGCTCTTGAATACATGTACATGTATACCATTCCTAAAACATGCAGAAAGGTAAAATTGGGAAATTATACATGGTTTTAAAACTGATACATACATATACATGTAATGTAATGTACAGTGTACATGTAGGTGTATTTTTAATGATATGAAAAACTGCACATGTAATCTACATGTACAAGTACCAGTCCATGTATCTACCTTTTCCCAAGCAATATCCGCAAAACCGAAAACCCAAAGGACCCACTACACATACATGTACATGTAACTTCTGCCAAAATTGTTTTTGTGTAAATAAAAAGTCTACATGTACCAGGGTATGTACAGTATAGTTCTGTTTACTTACCATGACAACTGTTTCTACCTGATGGGGACTCCATGCTGAAGTGGTGTTAAATATGATCTAAATAAGAATACATGTAGGAAAAATTGAGATTACTGAAATTACATGTACATTCTATCTCCAGTCAGTCTGACCAGTACTGCTCTCAGTACATCAAAATGTACACAGGGCTGTCACAAATATCCTATTATTCAATCGATTATCAAATATTTGAATACTATTTTCTGAATTTGAATATTCGAATGCAAAATTGATAAAAGGAAAGGAAGAATTTTCTTGTTTTAAATGGGAAAATATTTCACAATGGAGGCTTGCTTCAAGCAGATTGATATGAAAAGTAACAGAATGATACATCCTACGATTCAAACTGTAAATTTTTTCATTAAAAAGTGTATAAAGAATTGAAACTTTCGACAAGGCAAGAAGTATTGTTCTTCTCTTCAATCTTGCTTAGTCAGACTGGAGATCTGTAGTCCTACATACATGTACATGTACATGTTATAGAGATTTATGATAATTTACAATTGAGTGCATTATTGCAACTGATTTTGTAAATGGTTTGTCGCTGTGACCAAATATCCGGATATTCAATCGAATTGTCAAATATGTGTATTCAAATAGTGAATTCTTCGAACTGACTCAGCTCTAATCTACATGTACACATGTACACGAACGCATACATGTACATGTATGTACATGTACATGTGTACGGTACACGTACATGTGCTTGTTATAGTGTAACAGCATCACAGTCACAGTCCACTATCCACTGCCAAATAACTTTTAAAAGGTACTGTACATGTACATGTAGTTGATACTTACATGTAACAATGGACCGGTCTAATGTTAGGTGCATGTACATGTACATACATGTAATACATGTACATGTACAGTACATAAATGCAAATATGCTGTACATTACAATGTAATGCGTTTGCTGTTATGACAAATCAACTGAAAATGATTGCGAAGGCTTTGAAATGAATGATGGCCATGGCAGAGAGTGCCATTGTTACGCCCCAACTATAGCATCAGTCCCAACTACCGGGTACATGTGTAGTTGGTCCCGCCCCAACTAGAGTGTTACATTTGGGCTGGCCCAACTACAGCAGAGAGGTCCTGTGTGCATGATGTACCAAAGTCATATTGTTTATAAATGTCATGTCATCGGTCATAGGGCTAGATGAACAGATGAAGTGCTACATTTTAGATGAACTGTGTCAAGTGTGAGGCACATTGACTTGGATAATCAAGACAATTCCCACATTGGTCAACAATAGTTGGGCCAGCCCAACTGCAGCACTACAGTTGGGACTGTTCCAACTATAGTTGGGACTTATGCTGTACATGTACATGTAGTTGGGGCATAATACTATCATTGCCCTGGGTACAGGTCGACTTGTACTTGTGCCAACTCGTAAACCAATCAACTCGTACATGTACAACAACCAATGTATGTACGTTGACCAACTCGTGCGCTGATCAACTCGTGCACTACAACGTGACGCACTGTTGGTTTTAGTTGAACTCTGGAGTAGAAATACTGGAAAACTAAAAATTAAAAAACTAAATGATCCATTTCCAAAGAATAGCATCAAGATTTAACATTGAAATTTAGTCAAGACAAGAGATGTAAATTGCATAGTCAACGGAGGTTATTCAGACTTCACGTGTATGGGGGCACAGGTGTCTGTTGGAGGAGAACGTGCCCCCTGTGCTCCCCCCCCCAGCTAGTTACATGTATGTACGCCACTGAGGACTGAAGGCAACGTCATCACAATAGCACTCATGCTCAAACGTTTCGTGCTAATCAGGCAAATGGTACAATTTGGAGTACGGCATTGGCATATTAGTTGGCACACATACAAGTTGACCACCAGGACAAGTATTTATTGCCCTCCTTACATGCCTAACTGGCATGACTGACTGAAGTACGCGAATTTACATGTATGTTGGCCTACCATGGGAAGATGTGTAACATGCATGACGGTTTAGTACATGTACATGTGTATTTCGAGAACTCTGAGTCACTAACTCTGTGATACTCCGTAGAGCAACTGTTAGTGAGTTAGAGTTCTCAAAGTAACGGTATATTTGCCACATCCTTAATTTTAAGTCTGATTAGTTTCACAGTTGGCCTACTGCCGTACCGGTAAGAGGCGAAATGTTAAACAAAAACCATCACACACGTCACACTGTCACTGTGTACAAGCCCCACAAAAAGTGCCCTCTTGGTGTTGGACGTCAACAACCCCGACAGTTCTGAGAGTAGTCCACACTTAAACTACATGTACATTATTAGGCTACATACATGTAGATGTAGCAGTATGGCCCCATCGCTCAGCCAACCATGCCATTGCCAACATGCACAGGGATACCGGTACATGTAAGCCTTGTCGCCGCCCCTTCTTCCTTCCCACAATGCCTTTCTACTATTGTGCAGTATTAGCGATAAGGCTTACATGTAAATGACAAATGCATGACGAACAGATGACACTACCTGACAATGAGCAATGACTCAAGCTGTTACAAGATATGAATTCAAATAAGGCTTCAGGTCTTGACACCATTCCTGCCAATATCTTGAAAAAAAGTCCTTCAATCGCTCCAGTGTTAACCAAGATTTTTTAAAAATCACTTGATTCTGGATGCCTACCCGATGTTTGGCATGATGCTATATGTAATGTGACTCCGGTATACAAGAACATGAAGAAAGGAGACAGATGTCAGCCTGTAAATTACAGGTAGGTATCGTTGACATGGATTCCATGTAAGATTTTGGAACATATTCGTCATCCTATCATGAATCATTTTGATAAATATCGCATCTTAGTTGACGTTCAATACGATTTCACAAGGGACATTCCTACGACACTCAGTTATCCGCTCTTGTTGATGACCTTTCAAAGATTTTGGATGACAAAGGCCAAGCGGACCTGATTATTATGGACTTCAGCAAGGCGTTTGATTTAGTGCCTCACCAACGTCTCTTGATGAAACTCCAACACATGGGAATCAGGAACAACACATTAAAATGGATCAAATCCTTCCTTACAAACCGTTACCGACAGGTTGTGCTGGAGGGCGTATCTTCAAAAAGAGCTAAAGTTACGTCAGGGGTTCCCCGAGGTACATGTACTGTCTTGGGACCCTTGCTTTTTCTGGCATAAATCCCCTGCCGGCGAAGGTCCACTCAAAGGTTAAACTTTCTGCAGACGACTGCATCCTCTATAAAAGGGTGCAAACACCTGAGGACTCAGAATCAGATATACTTCAAGCAGACCTTGATGCATTAGTTGACTGCGAAAAAGACTGGCAAATGTCTTTCAATCCTTCCAAATGTTTCAGCATGAGAGTCACACACAAAAGAAAGCCGGTTATTACGAAATACAAGATGGGTCTCCACACCCTCGAGGAGGTAAGACATTATCCCTACCTAGGTGTTGAACTTAGCAGTGATTTGAAATGGTCAACACATATCAATCAGACTGTTGCCAAGGCTAATAAAATGTTATTTTTTGTTGGAGGAATTTATACTATTTCATATAAATCGCTGATCAGACCGAAACTTGAATACTGCTCTGGGATTTGGGATCCACAACACAATTCGGACGGGAATAAGTTAAGTATGGTGTTTGTACGTGAATAAATGGACAGATACTGGACAGACTGACACTGAGTGATCATACGAAGCAATGAAGAACTTTCCGAAAATCCCTGGCCAAAGACTAGGCCCCACTACTATTAGTTTCCAGCTAGGGCCTATATACATGACATACGATATATGTGACGGAATGTGATAATATTGACTAAAAGAAAGCTCAATACACTCATCTAAAGCCCCAAAGGATCCCAGGACCTCCAAAAATTTCTCACCCAAAACCACCAGCTCAGTACTGTACGTTCAGGACTCAACTCGACTCTGTTTAAAACTGCCCGACTCGGGATTTAAGTTACCATGTGATGTTTGTATTGGCATATGATTGGTAAGTCAGTGCCAGTCCATTTTACGAGGTAGGGAGTATCGATATTCCAGAATCTTTCTTGTCATCTATACACGTTTATACGTAAATTTTGGTCATTGATTTTAAGGATAAAACAAAAATTCCTGGTGATTATAGCATTGTCCTAATCATGTGCTGAAATTTAATTAAAATTTCCTTCATTGAGAGGTTTTACGCTGAATAAATAATTACAGTAACAACGACAACACAAAAATAGACATATATATCACCTAACTTACAATGGTCTAGTCCTATCGGCAAATTGAAAGCGCGCCACCTATCGGTTGAAGTTAATTACTGCAGAAAGTGCGTTGGAGCAGCGCTTAGTGTGGACCTGGTAAGTACACGTACATGTACATTGTCAGGATTGTACGTTACAGTTTTCAACATAATATCAAATTAATGCAGAATGGTTTATGAACCCCTTCGTAATAGTTTCGTCCTATTTTTTTTTAAACCGTTGTCGAATGTTACAGTTACTAGGCCTACACTGATAACGATCATGATGATTGCCACACCCTACTAAAAGTAGTACTAGGCCTACGTACATGTACATCATACATGTATCCATGGAGGAATTACTCCATGATGTATCACAATGCCCAAGCTTGACTGACATGACTGAGCTGACACGGCTGAGGGAGTGAGAGTGACTCAGTGAGATTAGGATGGGTTACTGTTACTTTGAGAACTCAATGTCACTACTCCGTCATGAAATATGATGGAGTAGTGACTTTGAGTTCTTGAAGTAGGTTACTGCAGCAATTCGAAATAAAGATTGCTCATTCACCTTCCTGACTGTCCTGACCTTCCCGACATGCCTGAATTATCCTATCCTTTCTGTTGTTGACTCATAAAATTTTGTTTGTGGTTCAAGTTATTCCCACTATGATAGCTCTTAAAATCTGCGTGCACACCGTGTGCCAGCGGAGATGGTGTCTCTATTGAAGTATCGAGAAAGTTTCTATGATGGCCTCAAGCACTTTGTTCATGAATAAGGATAAAGAATGATTTTGTTTTCACAGGAAAAAAGAAAGCCTCATTTTTTTCTAAGAGATGGAAAAATTGCAGTGCGTCACCCTACTCTTACACATATTAATCCGGCAAGGAACATGAGGAATGACTTTATTTTTTTCATCAGAACTTTTTACCCCAATCTTAAATGCAGCAACAACTTTGACATTCATCTTATTATTTAAATTGGTGTTTTGCCTCGAGAATAGTAAATTTTTTTGTCTTGATGGACTCATTGTTTTATCATTGTCTAAAACAATTGTTTAAATACATGTCTTCTTTCTGAGTTTTAATTTTTGAGTTATAACCATCTCTTTAGACCTGAACTATTTTATTCAAAATTAATGTTAGAAATCTTTTACAAATTTTTCAAATTGTATAAGAAAACAAAAAAATTGCTTCAGTAATGTTGACATAATTATTCCCTATTTATTGTCCCACACTAGGGTAAAAGTACGATTGATACCAGTCTATTGTAATGGAGATTGGGGGCACGCTTTACGCACACAAAAACTTTTTCAGCGCAGAAGCCCTTTTGACTCCAAAAAAAAACGTGGGCACTTTCACAGTTAAAATGTGCCTTTAGACATGTTAGACACCATTGGCCATTTGGGAATTGACATGTACTGTATGGAAGCCCAACAATGGATATCCAAGGGCAGGGCCGCATTAGAAATAACTTAGAGATAGACGGAAGGTAATGAGAGACACGGTGAATGAACATTTATAAATTTCAGAAAAACTACAACTTTTATTAACTGTATCAAAACTTCCAAAAACTTGCAAATTTTTTCACTCTGTATTAATACATGTAGAACTTATCCTCGGGCCATAAGTTATTGATAACCTGGATGAATATTGCGGATTGGGAACTCACTCGCAATGCAAAATTCAACATTACCAATACCGCAATAATAGAGTTACATGTACCATGATAATATAGGAACCGTGTACACACATGTACATGTATGTAGGCCTACTGACCACTAGGAAAGAATGTTGCAGTGCATGCTGGCACACATCTACAGCTGTCATTGCCTTCACTCTTTTCATCTCAACAGGCCTACTTCCAGGACTAGAAAGTTTTTACAGTTGCAAAAGTATCATTGCAGAAATGCTGAAAAGCCACGAAATGGAATCTGAGACTAAGAAAAGCATTGTTCAATTCCAGACTTACATGTACATGTGCATTTGTAGCATGTAGGAAGTACTCTTACTGCATACTTACCAATACATGTACAGTCTTTTCCGTCCTCCATGCATAGGCCTACATGTACAATTGTACATGTAGGCTATGTAGACCATGAAGTTTTACGTTGCGTTTACCTAGCATGTTAGGTCGCTCTACTTTAGCCTGGATTTTGAATATTCATTGTAAAGAAATGCCTCACAGGTCTCAAAAGACTATAAGCAATTAATACAGTAGCTGGAGAGTAGATTTGGAGAAGACTGAGAAGACAAGCAGAAAAGTGGTCTCACATGTACATGTACTGTACTTCACCCTGCCATACCTTTAATGTTTATTTTGCCATCTTATGAGCATTTTTGTGCCTTTTGATTTTGCATGTTGTGAAAAAGAGTCATTTCATATTCAGCATTTTCGTAATAAAAGTGTCATGTACATGTAATTTCAGGAGACTTACAAGTTCACATACATGTACACCATACATGTACACTGTACAGTACATGGTACAGTACACATACATGTACATGTACACGTACTTTGCTAAGGATTACTGAAAGAGCCAAAATCGTCATTATGTTGGACATTTTCCTGGCTTTAATTTTGTTTTGTGATATGTGACAGGGGCCTCAAGTGTTAAAAGACGGTGTTCGTTTTTTTTCTTTGGTCATGCAGGAATGCTTGCTGATGTACCATACATGCCACATGTACCACTGTTCCTGGATTATGATAGTGTCGCCCAAGGAATAAAAGCTGTGACACAGGAACTTTGATGGTCAAACAAAACACATCGACATTGGAATACATACATGTACTTGTATTTTTCCCTTGTGTGAACTCAGCCTTCGCCAGCATGGGTTGTAAAGTGTCATGTGCTTGCATTCTGTCACTGACTGCAAAGGTGGCATGCATTTTTGTTCTCATACTTCAATCTACTTTGCTGGATTACGTCATTGTGCAGTGGGACACCAGTGCATCAGATGTAGGACGATACATATGGATAGCCTTTGATGCACTCATTGTGATCTTCTGGATCATTGCCATGATAATGTCGCACCGATTTTTCCACAACCCAAACCAGCAGAAAGTGCCCACTGAGGGGTACACAGGAAAGCAGCTTATCATACTCGCCCTGAAGGAGCTCCCGTTCGCTTATGTCTCATGGCTTTTCTACGCCATCGTCCTTGTTGCGAAGATCAATGCCATATTTACTGCAAAATTCGCCGAGGCACTTACGTCAAGCACGGAGTCACTGCGATCGAACACTTCGCTGAAGATCATTCTGTCCTTGGCTGGTGTTATCTTTGCCCTGATGGCATACGCCCACCACAATGAAGCCCACAACTCCAAATACAAGCTCCTGATTGAGAAGATAGGCACAGCTGCCAGTATTGACCTCCTGGATGTCATCATGCTGCTGGACATTCTCTTTGTCAACGTCAGTCGTGTGTTGGTGACATTCACTCTGGACCGAACCATCCGGACCTTTGCCTCCATCTGCATCCTGCTGCCTGTGTTACCACTTGTTGCCCTGCGGGTCATCTCCTCCAGCGGCACGGCCAAGACTGACAAGGTCTTCCCCATGGTGATGGTGCTCAACTCTGCCCTCTACCTCTTCCTGGTCAACATCCCACTGCTGATCATCCGGATGTTCCTGTGGGTGCATCACGACGTGGACGTCACCACATTCCTGACCAAAAACGTCTTGGCCATCTGCAAGGGATGCCTTGACATCTATCGTGAGCTGGTAGCCTGGAGGCGGGAGGTAGCCAAGGAGAAGAAGGGGAACAATGATGAAGTTCAGATGGAACCAGTTGTTCATGTGTGACAAAGCAACATGTACAGGTATATTTATGTGTACCTGTACATGTATGTAACGTGTACAGTGTACATGTACATGTGGGAGCAGGCTCGAGATCATATTATTGGCTCCGTGGGACTTCAGACGCAGATGCGTTCTCAGCCTTGTACATGAGACATGTTTATGTATACGAGGTACATGTACGGTACATTTGGTAAAGTGAGAGTGATGGTACTGGATCACTTGTCATGCAAACTGCCATACACACGCCTACATTTGAGATATACAAGCAGGCCTGCAGTGTATCTGTTACCAAGTAGCATAATTTTGTTTCAAAATTCCAATGTACACGTACATGTGTGTTATTTTACTGTAGTCTGAACAGAAATTTCAATGTATATATTCAATCAGCAGTTCTGAAAGCAAAATTTCATTTTACAACAGACAAAAAGTAAGAAAAAAGGCAAAATATTATTTTCCAGTACTGTTTTTGTTCACCGAGTTACCTTTGAACCTGAAATTAAATGTTGACTCATGCATGTACATATGTACGTGTACATAACTTATATTTAATTAATGCAATTGCTTGTGGTAGTTAAGATGTCTGACAAGTTCTAATGCATCAGTTGGCAATATTTACTTGTCACCATCACAAAAATAAATAGGTCTCGCTGACCGACTGTAAGACTGACTATTAAGAACAAATAACGATTTTATGTACATACATGTAGGTGGAATACTAGTAGCCTGCTGTACATTCACTGTATGTATTCCTTTCAGCACTGATGGCAACTTTTTGGGCTAAGTGCGTCCACTTAAGTCTTATAAAGGCCTCCATGTACGTGTATGTACCAACAGCCATCACATGTAAGCATCTATGTCCATGTACCGGTACATGTATGTATTTGGCATGTTTGGTGTGATTGATCAATCTTGGACATGGAATCTCCAATTTTACTTTTTTTTCTTTTTACAATACATGTACACTTTGGTTAACTAAATTTTAACAGAAATGCAATTGGCTGATGGTGGAATTACAAGTGTCAACAAATCTTGCAATGAGATCAATGGATCAGACAAAGATCGGAAAGGATTAACGACAGCAGTGATTGACCAATCACACCCAACGCATATTGTACATACCCGCCTTAGGTGAACCATGCAGACTCATTATGGCAACATGAGTACATGTATATTGTACTAGCATATACCATGATGTGTGCGGTAGCAGTACATGTACATGTACCTTTTCAAAAAGTGATACTACAATGTACATGTACACAGTAGCTCTACATGTACCGGTAAGTGTGCATATCAGTGCAAATGTACTTATTATAAATGTACTTATTAGAAATGATGAAGTATACCGATACAGTGAAAAGTCCTGCAAATTGTGCAAAGCCATATATACATGTACATGCATGTACAGTATGTTGCATTTCAGTTTAATAGCCCATTTTTATACAAGGAAATGCTGACGGTATTGAGGACATTTATTGACAGTTACACTGTAAAGGCTGCAAATAGTACTTGAATTGCCTTTCGATTTTTTATGCAATTTTTATGTAAGACATACTGTACATGTACATGTACACATTATTAAAGAGGTTTGTTTGTGTTCATTGAGCTGAAATTTTTAACCACCCCCATTGTGTACATGTGGTTTACTTGATCAGTTGATAAAGGTATTCAGTATGCTGTAAACTTCATTGATAAAAGGGAATAAACCTGAAAACTACATGTGTATGTATGTATGTATAATGCGTAGTGGGTGAACATGTACATGTACTAACATGTAAGTTCCTGTTTTAGCCTTTGCTCTTCTACATGTTCATGTATGCCCTTCAAAATTCTTTGTACCTGTGTGGTGTTTTTTGATCAGGAGTTCAGCTTATAATGCTAGTGAAAGTTGTACATGTACTGTGTACATACATGTACATGTACAGTGGTGTCCCATACTTAAAAAACTAGAGTCTCCATTATGCACATGTACAGTGTAATTATGATATTTACATGTACAGTGTACATGTACAATTTGTAATTAATCCCCTCTTGTGGCGTCACCCTATTCAGAAAAGTGTCTTACTCTTGAGAATGTACAGTTACCTGCAAATGTAACTGGACATTCTTGGAAAAACTGACATCAAAATTGACTTGAAAGACACAGGAAATGCAGTTGTGACATTGAATTATTACGGCAAACACAGTGAGAGAAGCTCTTATTACATGTACATGTAAGTACATGCATTCAGATGTTCAATGATGGTCTCTCTGAATTTCTAGATTTGACTTGACTGTTGTGATTACTCTGTATTCTTTATTAAAAGTGGAACATGTTTTTCATTGCTTTTATGTTTTTAATGAGTATTGGTCATTTTTCACATGACACTTCTTCCATTTTATTTTATCATTTTACATATGTACGTGTACATGAACTTATTCATATGTATACGTTAATTGTAATGTATAATTTTATTTATTTTACAAAATGTACTTACATATACATGTACATTTTGTTCATATTATAAAATGTACTTACATGTACATTGTACATGTGTTTGGGTGTTTTTCTTTTTAAATTTTGCTTTTCAAGCTGATTTGGTTAAACCTCAGTTTTAATTCTTACTCTGTTATTAAACAATTTTTAAAGTAACTCTTGACAGTAATATTTTTATTGTAACATCATATTACATGTACATGTACTTATTCATCTAAATTTATACTGTACGTTAATTGTAATGTACATGTATTTAATTTTTCTTCATTTTACAAAATGTACTTATGTACATGTATTTACAGTGTTTGTACATGTACAATGCATGTACCGTATACCTGTACATGTACACAAATACTTGTGTAATCTTCGCATGAACTTTGCTCGCTGTAATTACTGTAAGTAGTATGGTATAGTGTAAACATTCGATCTGAAAATACATGTTTGGTATATGGAGAACTTCCATTCAACCAAAGGTGACTCGGCATCATATTTATTGAGCTCGATCAACACATCACTCATACATGTACATGTAGTTGTGCATCATTTGTAATTTGTTGTGTGGTAGTAAATTTACATGATGTACATGTACATGTAATGTAACTATCGATATTGCACCTGTGATTTGAATTCTTTCAGCTTAGTGGACTGTTACAGCAAAATCAGGGAGCTAGATGTAATCCCATTCTGGCTCTGTACATGTACGCTCTGTATGGTCTGTACACAAAAGCAAGAGGTTAATTGACCAGTGTGCAGAGTCCATGTACATGGACTGTTTATGCATGCATTTTGGTTTAATAAGCCTATGTTGTTGGTGTAGCAGGACAAAGACGGTATCAAAGGAGCGAAAGGTACATGTACAGGTATGCACAGTGAATGATTTCACGCACTGTTTTTTACAGCAAATGCACAGTTGTATGTTCATCATGCTCATGCAACTTTGCCCACTTGGGGCATACTCTATATGTACTGGTCTTGTGCAAAAAGGACATTTGCTGACCAGGGGTAAGGGTCATTTGTAGCAAAGGGAAGAGGAACAGTTAAGGAAAGTAATGTAGGCCTACTATGTACCGGGTACAGTTAATAAGAGGTTCAACTTGGCTAATTACATGTATGTGTACCTTGTTTTAAACACATGCAACAGGAACCTTGTATTATCAGGAATGAAATGAATGAATAGAGAATTGGGACTTAAAAATTTCGTTGTTACAAGAAAAATCTTTTATTAACAGTTCTCTTATTAATGAGCAAGGCTCGATGATGAGAATTATAGGAATGTGTACACAATAAATGTGAATTGCAGAGCTGTTAAAAATGTACATGTTGACCCAGCCAGTTGGTACAAAATGTACGTGTACATGTATATGTTCATGTATGTATGCAGATACATGGACTAGCTGTACATGTATTTCTTATTTCAGAATCCCTGGTTCTAATCTGCCATGGCACTGTGTACACACTTCACTAATGGAATGACAGTGATGGCCAAAAGTAGCTCTGTCCTGCTGTTGATTATCCAGTCTGCCTTTTTAGATGTCATCATCCTGAAGCTCGATGAGTCGGTGCCAGAGCAGAGTTTGTACATGTGGCCAGTTGTGGACAGCATAGTGGCATTGTCGTGGATATCTGCCATGGTCGTGTCGTACTTGTACTTCTCCAGGCCCCCAGAACTGGAGGTCCGAGGCTGGAAGCAAGTGTTGAGAGTTGTTATGCGAGAGCTGTCATTTGCTTACATCTACTGGCTGGTGTACTCAGCGGTTCTCGTGGCCAAGATCCAGAGGCTGTTTGAATTCAGGAGGGAGCTCATCGCCCCGCATCCAACGAGAACCCTGCATCCATCCAGCACCCCCCATCCACCATGCCCCATCTGCTCGGCGACTACCTTCAAGATTGTTTTGTCCCTGGCTGGGATCATGTTTCCCCTCCTAGCCTACAGCCGGGACGAGGTGGGCCACACTGAGAAGTACAAGTCCCTGCTGAGGCACCTGGGCACGTCGGCCAGCCTTGACATCCTGGACTCGGTCATGGTCCTGGACATTCTCTTCACCGTCTATGACAATCACTCGCTTGAACCTGCCATGGAGAATGCCATCAACACCTTCTCCTCCCTGTGCCTCTTGCTTCCCATCGTACCGCTTCTTGCACTCCGCATTGCCTCTAGTGTCATTGAGTCCAGAAACAGCAAGCTCTTTGACTTGGCCCTGGTAACCAACTCCATCCTGTACCTTGTCTTAGTGAACCTGCCGCTACTCTGCATCCGACTTGTATTGTGGGCACGGCGGGACATAGATATCTCAACATTCCTCATCAAGAATCTGATGGGCATCATCAAGGGAGTCATAGACATTTACCAGGAGATTAAGATGATCAGGGCATGGACCAGTGACCAAGGTGCGGTCAATACCACCCCCAGAGACAATCCTGTAACAGAGATGCCACTTGGGGATAAAAGGTTATTGATAAACGATGATGTGGACTACCAGTTCATCTGAACAAAGAATCGATATCTCATTTGACGGTTCGGCAATTCAGAAAATTGCAAATTGTATAAACGCCTTTAATTTACCTCCAATCTGACATGGAAATGCACTTATAAAACTACTGTTATTCAATCCTCACAGATCACGATTTGATAACATTATTCTAAGACTTCTCCAGCTCGCTTAACCTCTTGATGTGGGTAATTTAAATCAAGTAGAAATACTGGAACACTTCTAAGTGAGGAAAAACCCTTTAAAACAACAGACAAATCCAAACCACTGACTAGAAATACAGTACATGTACATGTACCGTCTCACTGGTGAAGAAGCAATGGGCTAGTGGGGAGTTTCCCTTGTGCACGCATCCATATTGTGTATGCAAAGACCTTGTACATGTATTCCAGCCATGATTTCAGAAGTTGGTTCACTTGCCTATCACATGAAGTTGTGCGTGCACAGTCTTTCCTCACCAAAGGGACATGTACGAATTCTGCTGTGTAAAACCATGCGATCTGTTGTTCCACATGAAAATAATCAAATAAGTGTTAGTCCTTGCTGTGTGTACTGGTAAGTGCAATGTTGGGTCAGTCAGACAAATACATGTACATGCCAATACCATGGGCTTTAGTAGACGACTTCATGCATTATCCACCCCAAGTAGAAGTGCGCCTTCACCGGCAAAGGAGAAATGGGCTAGTAGGAAAATGTGCATGAGCCCAGTGCACACACATATAGACTGCACATTCCAAGATACATTGCTTCCCTCGGCGCACCCTGTGCAGAATGTGCATAAACCAGCCCGTTCATGCATTAAGTTCCCACAGAACGACTGCCGTTTTATGTAAAAACACGTCCTCTCTTGCTACTGCTCAGTGTGGATCAACAGTAAAGACCCCAGATGGCATAAACCGGAGGGTGCATCTGTATTTATAACAAAGAATTAGCCTGGCATTCCTGAGAATGTGTGACTGACTTCCACTGTGACAGACTTTCTACAGCGAAGCAAGGGTCAGTCTCGGGAAGTGAAAATGTTGAAATGAATCGGAGGATGCTCCGCAAAGCAAGGATTTAAGAAACTCACATTGAACTGTAATGTTCTCATGTAAAGTCAACACAACAGACTCCACCACTGTTTTTCAATCATGAAATAACCACCTGATGGGACTTAAAGATCAGCAGGCTTTCCACTTACATGTACACAGAGGACGCAGGATGGTGCTACAGTATTTGAAAAATGTTTAAAAATACACGTTGACAGAACTCATACGGTATGCATCTTCAGTACTCCTTTTAGCTCAAAACGCAACTTCTACACTCCACTTGACAGTGACTTTTTTGCTTTGAATTTCTGGTAGATACATGTAAGTTGAAACAACACACAAGAGTGCTTAATCCTGAAATCTTTGGTTGCAGTCTAAGATGTGCATCTCAAAGGCCAAAAAAAAATGCAAGGGGAAAATTGGGTAAAATGTTGACGAAACTGATCAGGAGCTGCACTGTTTCATATTCACTGGTCATGCTTTCTTAGACACACAATTCAAACTATATCGTTTTATTTACATGCCATTTACAACATTAAGCCTAGGTTGCATCTTACATGTAGTATGAACTTTCAACAGTTTCATTTACCTGTACAAATGGTACATGGACAAATAAATGTTTCACTCCATGCAATCAGTATTATAAATCATTCCATTTCATTGTAAGCCAGTTTGCAGTGCGTTAGGCAGTGATACCAAACATTGATAGTTGTTGGATACTAGAAAAATGTTTAGTAGTACAGAGCCACCATGTTATTTAAGCACTAGACGTGAACATAATGGACTTGATGTCTATAATCGTTTTGTTTCACCGTTAACGATAAAGTGTACAGTGGTTTTCCATGCTTGCCTCTTGTTACTTTAACTGCTGGTCTGATAAATCACTGGGAAACTCGGCACATCGAAGAGCAACTGTTTGATTCGAAACGCCAAAGTACCGTAATTGTTTCATTTTTGTTTTCTGTTGTGCTACAGGCAACATTTGTTGTTGCCAATGTCATTCAGCAATTCAATTGAGGTCAGTGACCTTCTCAAGTTCAATTAATTAAACTCTGAGTGGCGTCAGAATTCTCTAACAATATTCTTGCTGGGATTTCACAAACAACTTGACGTACATACATTCTAAACCTACAGTTGTGTGACCATCAAACCGCTGACTAAACTGCCTTTGTAAGATTAGCAACCAAACATACCAAATGCAACAACTTACAAAAAGTATCGTTTCAGCACAGATTTCACAAGCGATTGCAACATGCACTCATCAAAGACTCGTGTACCTGTATGTACCTTCATGCACAATACATGTACATCTGTTTACAATAGATCTAAAGGGTCATACAATGTATTGGTTACATGTACATATGCTGAAACTCATTCTCGAGACATATATTTGTTGTTATAGCTTGGGTATAACCGCACTTGCACATCTGTTAGCTGGAGACTTTTGCGTAGTTTATTGCATTACTACATGTATGAACAATAATTAGGCTGAACAAAAAAATGACATTTTCACCAGTGATCTCTGGCACACTGAATTGGTACTCTAGCAACTGAGCTCTCAAGCAGCGTTGTGTCCCTATTTTTAAAGCGCCACCCCAACGGTGGTGAAAAAAAAATTGGGAATACAGTTTAATATACTCACATGGTATCTATGTAATAAGTTGTAAAGTGGCACTGTGACTTCTGAATAAATAGTAATAATGCGATAAACATATGGACCAATTCTGCTGGTTTTCAAAAACTTTCATATTTGTACCGTTGGTGGCACCAGGCAGAACTACTTTTTTGATGACGTACATGTACCACCATGGAAATGAGCACCGTGAGCTGCCAGCCTAGCCTGACACTTTTTCAGAATAAAATAACAACATAAAAAACATTGAAGACATCTGTCCTTCACTCTGAACCTACCAAGCCATATTTATCAAATGATCTTTGTCTCCTTCATCGCCACGTTCACCAGTGGTGGCCCATCGTCAGCTCAATTGGGATCCCGGAGGTGCTCCGGGGCACAATGGGTTCAAAGCAGTAAGTCTCTGCGCCTCGTACTTGGGACAGTGTATAACTGTAACTACACATGTGTTACTATACTATGTGTAATTATGTGCACTGACATGACTGTGCCCACTCAGTGCGTACATGCACCAGCTGGAGAACCGTTTTCATGGTGCTACGTCGACAAAATCCTGGAAAGGCCGAATTCATGAGATGTAAATGAAGCGATGACGACACGCTCCTTTCATGAAAGCTAGCCATGGCACTCGGCAGAAACGGGTCTTCAAAGTGATTCTTTTAAACCAAAAATATTGGGTTTATGTGGCATAGATACATATAATGGGATCCAAGTAAACGAAGGCCAGATTTCTTATTTTCTTCCACCGTTGAGGTTTCTCTTTAAATGTCTTCTGGGCGAAAGTTCAATCACTGACCAATTATAATTAATCAAGAGGTCAGGTCTGCCTGGCAGCCAAGCCTGTGCACAAATTTATCTTCGGTACTTGTCACAAATCAACCACCAGTGGACTAAGGGTCACCAGTGGAACTTGGCCAGTAAGTGAGGAACTGTTCTAGGGACTGTACCAAATACATGTGCTTAACAGCTACACAAATCATTTGACATAATGCAAGAACATGTACATGTTATGACAGACTTATGCAGCTCAGGAAAGCTGCTGATGGTACATGTACATCATTTTCTTCAGTAGTCTCACGCAGCCAATTCATTTGCCTCTTTCAGTTTGGCATTTGTATAGTGTACATGTACAGTATACCTGTAAATTGTATAAAAGATAATGAACAGTAATTTGAACTTTCTTCTTGACAGAAGAATAGTGCTAAATTACTGATGCATCAAACCCTTCCAAGAAACAATTCATATACATCCTAGTGAAATGTAACCAAGAACTGTCATATATTTGTGGCTACGGTACACTATGCCTTCAACCTTTGCAAAGCCATCTGCACCGTTGTATCTCAAGGGGGTGTGAAGTGTAAATTACTTGTGTCAAATTTACAATATTTAAAGTGAGCTTTAGAACACTGATATGCTGTATGTCTTCATTAAGCGTGGTAAGTGAAATCTCGGTTAACACAAATTGATGCCTTGCTGCGACTATCACTCAAATGATTTGTTCATGTACAAAAGCCTATACCGAGTATACTATATTAAATATTTCCTTAAGAAAGTGACCATAAACAGTGAATCACATGTTAAAAATGTAGCAGAAAAAATAGACACCTGGCTGACATGTCTGATAAAGAGACACTTAAGGTTTCTGTACTTTTGATGAATCAAAGTTGTGAACGTTGTCAGTATGGGTAAAACATTTCATCAGAAAGTCACTTAAGTTTACAAGGAAATCAGCACTTTTGGTACAAGGAAACTTACATGAATCGAGATCACAGATGAGTGTAAGAACTACCTTGCTGAAGCCAAAGATATTTGACAGGTTATTTTTGTTAGCTTTTGTTGATATGAGCAGGAAGATTCTAGATTTAGAGTTCGGACTGTGTAAGATTCAGCAGTCTCCAAGCTGGAATTCAGCACAGTCCCCTCCAAGTAACTACGGTAGTTGGTTTTCACAGACAGATAGCAATTACTGGTTTTTCAATTAGCCATAGGATGGCTTCATTTTAGACGTGGTCTTTTCGCCACTATGCATGTACAATGCAGGCTCCCACAGTAGGTTCTACTGTTGGCTTACTGCGTAGCGTTCATCGAGCAGCCACTTGCAGATGAAGCAAATAGCCGTCATGCCTGTTATTCATTAGGAGACTTGTGCGTCCATCAAAACATGACTTTACTGAACTCAACTGAGCAGAGATATGGACACAGATGGGCTTGCATCAGATCAGAGGCATCTCCCGCTCCTGCGAGGCCTCCTTGAAGCCTGGCTGCACCGCTGACCTGGTAAGACCCCAAAACATCTCTGGCTTCAGTTTGCGCTTGGCGGCTGTGAACTTCCAGCCCATGTGACCATCGCAGTGTCGGCATTGCAGGATGGTCCACGCATAGCTGGGAGAGACACAAATCAAAGCAAAGCCCAAATTAGCTTGATATGAAGGCTAATCCGGGAAGATCACAAATTGGGACAATGGCTTCCCTAAAAGAGAAGCAGAAATTTTTTTTTTAAATAGTGAGAGAAAGGTAGTTTTGGGGTCAATTTCATATCCTGCCAAGTGTGTAAAAATCCCAAAAATGTGCCCTCACCCCTCAGAAAGGCCACAAAAGGTTATGGGCGCCGCAAAAAAAGGAAATCCATCTTTAAATGCAAATTATCAGAATCTGCGTAGTACAGGTATTTCCCAAAAAGGTATGTTTGCCGGGGAAATCCAGACTGTCCTCTATCTTGTTTAGATATGGGTTTCCTTTTTTCCTTTCAAACTCAGGGCCCCTAAAATAAGTCCCTCCCCCCACAGAAAACAAATTTTGGTTTTGGCTGCACATACGTACAGTTCCTTTACAACTCTTACCAGTGCTGACAGTATGCGAGAAAGGAAAAAGTGAGGATATGTCAGGGGTTTCTATCACTTTCTGACCAAAAACTAAAAATGTGGGCCAACAACTATATGTGTGTCTCAATGCAGCAGTTGACAAAGTTAACAAAGTCAAATTTCAAACAAATTCACTGAAGTGTTTCCATTTGACTGCACTAGCTGTCACCAGGGACTCTGGCCGTGCTGTGAGTGCTTATCACAGCTTTATGAGAAGTACATGTGTGAGCTTCAGAAAAGAGCAAGACCCAAGACCACATTCAGAACGGCTCTGTTAAAACATAAACTCCATTACTTTGAGACTAAACTTTCGACATGGGATTATGCACCAACAAACTCACCCAGGAAACCAGCTATTTTCCTGTGATGGTCTCCCGACCAGATTCAGGTTGTGAGCGCGGTATAGGGTCAGGGTGTCATGTACATAACCTGCTGGGTTCACATAGGCCGCCATTGGACCATCAAGAGACATGCTGCAGGTACAATCAGAGTTACATGCCATAATACTCCCAGTATTACTGACGGTCATCTAGACAACAAATGTAGTGTGGTCTGAAAGTGAGAATATTCATTTTCTTCGCACAGTCTTTCAATGATCAATTAATTACATCATTTTCCAAAACATTGCTCTGCACAGGTAAATACCTAATCTTAAAGTTAGTAAGAAACGCAATTCAAATAGAAGCCACAATTTGAAAACATTATTGTTATTGAATGTGTAACATTAACCACTTTGTGCCGGGGCATTTTTCAATGTTGATGATGCTGGGCCGGCATGACTATCATTTTTTCCATTTTCAAAATCCTTCAAAAATTCATCATTCCATTTAAAGGTCGTTTATAGCCGCACAAAGTAATCTTTAGGCACTACTCTAAGTTGACAGGTAACCTTCATTGACGCCCGAGTATTTCAGCCAGGCCTGCAGCCTTGTAAACATGG